GTGGTCCCCTCTAGGGGGCGCCGGCTCTAATCCGGACCCAGAGCGGGGATGGGCTGGCTCAGGGGGGCAGGGAATAGGGGCCGGGATCTGTCCCCCTCTAGGGGTTGCTGGCTCCTTTCCAGCCCCACGGCAGGGAGCGCCTGGGCCGTCTGCAGGACGCTGGCTCTGATCCCCGGGCTGGCTCGCTGTGGGGGGGAGGGAATGGGACCTCTCTCCTCTATGGGGAGGGGGGCCGGTGCAGATGGGGCAGGAAGGGCCAGAACCCTGGTTGCTGCCCCCCCTCCCCTGCATGCAGCTGGTGTTTTAACCCTTTGTGCTCTGGAGACCTCGTAACCCTTTGTTGGATCCCTCTCCAGGCTGTTCCGCCGCCCCCAGCCCCCCACCGAGGGGGCCCCGGGGAAGGAGGGGCATTTAACTGGGCTCTAGTGGCTCCAGCTTGGGGATGGGGGACCCCCTCCAACTGGACGGGGGATGGGCCGCCATGAGTGACCGCAGCAGCAACCCCCCACCCCGGGCAGCTGGGCAGGGCCGCGGGAGCTATTTTGGTGGGAGTTTATAAAAAGATTCCCAGCCGCGTTCCAGGCTGGGGCCCGCGAGGCCTGGCCCATGGGGAGGGGGCAGGACAGAGTCAGTCCTCGGGGAGCTGCCCCCCCCCCGGGGGACAGACAGACAGCCTGGCCCTGCCGCACATGTGCACCCCCCAGGGCCTTGGCACCCCCTGCCCTCCGTTAAAGGGGCAGCTAGCACAGACTGCAGCTCCCCAGCCCCGGCAGAGACCTGTTGCCTGGTAGTCGTCCCCCAGGTCCTCAAACCTCTCCCTCCCCCTCCCCCGGCTTTCCTTTGAGAGCAACTCCCCACCTATCCTGGGGACCCCACTCCCCAAGGGGGGCAGGCAAGAGCAGCCAGAAACACACACAGCGCCCCCGCCACCAGTGACACTAGGGGAGAGATCTGGACCCCCTGGGAGGCCATTCAATGGTTGCCAGACAAGCTCCCCCCACCCATCACACAGAAAAAAGTGTGTGTGTGTGTGGGGGGGGGCAGCTCCAGCCCGTGCAGCTGGCAGTGCAGAGCTCAGATGCCTGGGTTTGTCCCCATCTCCAGCAGAGCAGTGGAGTCTAGTGGCTGGAGGGGGTGCGCTGGAAACCAGGATGCCTGGGTTCTGTCCCCATCTCCAGCAGAGCAGTGGAGTCTAGTGGCTGGAGGGGGTGCGCTGGAAACCAGGATGCCTGGGTTCTGTCCCCATCTCCAGCAGAGCAGTGGAGTCTAGTGGCTGGAGGGGGTGCGCTGGAAACCAGGATGCCTGGGTTCTGTCCCCATCTCCAGCAGAGCAGTGGAGTCTAGTGGCTGGGGGGGGTGCGCTGGAAACCAGGATGTCTGGGTTCTGTCCCCATCTCCAGCAGGGCAGTGGAGTCTAGTGGCTAGAGTGGGGGGGGAGGGGGGGTGTTGCTAGAAACCAGGATACCTGCGATCTGCCCCCAGCTCATGGACTCTACCTACCCCCATTGTAAACTGCTCCAAGCAGCCACAGCTGTCGCCCCCCTGCAATCTGCCCCCAGCTCATGGACTCTACCTACCCCCATTGTAAACTGCTCCAAGCAGCCACAGCTGTCGCCCCGGCCCAGACCAAGGGGACCAGTGGCTAAGGCCCCATCACCCATCTGCCCCCCACAAGCAGCTGAATGAACCCAGCCCATCTGGCCCCAACAATTCACGGGAACCGCACAAGGAAGTTCAAGAGCCTTGAAGTGCCAAGACCCCTCCCTGGGTTAATCATCAGCCTCCCCACCCCTCTGGTCTGGGATACACAGAGCAATAATCAATGGCGGGCTCAGGGTTTGGGGGGTGCTTGACTAGGCCCTGGAATGTGGCCCCCGCCCCCCGCTCCTCCAGCCCTATTGATTCTCTTCACTCCTGACCTGCAGCCCTTCCCCCGCCTCTATTTCAGCCTTTGCCCTCCCCGAAGCAGGCCGGAGTCGGGAGCTGAACAATGTTTGATTTGATGACACGGAGGAAACCCGCCCACCTTGCGCCCACCCCTGCTGGGGCGACGCGGATGGATCGGGGCCCTGGCAGCTGACCCGGCTCCAGGCCTGATCAAAGATCCCAAGGAAGCCGGGGGAGGGGGACCCGGGTCCCTTGAGGTTGGCTCCACTCCAGAGACGGCTGCTCCTGGGGGCCGGGAACAGAGGGGCTTTCTCTGGAAATAAAGGCAAGAGCCAGGAAAGCCGCTCAATCATTAACTGGACACACAAAGGGGCCGAGTCTCCTTCCCGTCCCCAGCCAGGCCCAGCCCTGGGCTGCAGGGTCTTTTGGGCTGCCTCCCCCCAAACTCCCTGCCTGCCCTCCCCCCCGCAAGAACTTGCAAGCCCTCAGCAGGTGCATGCTTCTGGCCATCCCCGAGCACCGGGCGGGGCCCACTGCTTTTCCTGCATGGGCTGAACACTAGGAAAAGGCCAGTCCATAGCCTACTGGCCATCCTCCGCCTCGTTAAAGGGAAGGGGAAACTGAGGCATGGCACGAGGCAGAGACTCACCCAACGGTGCGTGCATCAGGAAAAGAACCCAGGAGTCCTGATTCACCCTTAGCAGGGTGCAAATAAATCCCATTGTCTGCAGAGCCCCGACACCACAACTCCTGCGGGAATCACGACCCCCCCTCCCTTCCCAGAACCACAAAAAGACCCCAGGCGTCCTGACTCCCAACCCCTGTGCTTTAACGCCCGAGGTTCCTCTCCCCTCTCAGAGCTCA